CTACCATATCCATGTAATGCTTATTCAGTATTACTTTGTAAGTTAAGGGTTTGCCATCCAAATTTCGATCAACATCCTGAGTTTCTTGTAAGAGTTTTTCTTGAACATCTGGATTTTCTATAACCTCATGGGCAATCAAACATAGTAACGAGGCAGCAATCTCGAAACCAGCAAAGAAAAATAAAGAGCATTGCCCCACTTGCGGTTATGTGATTTCAAGTTCACTTTTTAACATGCCTCTTGACTCCATTTGCATATTAATCATATCTGGCCTTATAATATGATTTTCTTTACGATATTTCATCGCATCCAAGACTAAATGCATAAAGTATTCCGTTGACTTCTTATTAAATAACCAGATTCCTAAAGCTTTATAGAAAGCTTGTTGCATAAACCTTTTAACATTGTAAGGAAGCGATTTTGCTTCCTTACGGAATACACGTCCGTCCGCCTGAAATAGCTATCCACAGCGAACCACCTGACAGTCCGAGCTCTCCGTAAACGTCTGTCTGGTGTAATAAAGCATGAACAACCTCCTCCAGCATAACTCAAGAACTCAAATGTATAAAAACATAGATTTAAGAACTCAATAGGTATACAAGCATTAGTCAAGAACTCAAATGTATAAACGCGTAGATTCAAGAACTCAATAAGTATTCAAGCAGGATTAAGAACTCAAATGTAGGAAGGGGTGAGTAAAAACTCAAAAGTATAAACACAAGTAAAATCTCAAGTTGTTTAATAGCAAGATTAATGACTCAAATGTAGGAATGGCTAAGTAAAAACTCAAAAATATAAACCCAAGTGAGAATTCAAAATGTTTAACAGCAGAAATAAGTATTCAAATGTAAATGAGTATGCAAATATAAATAAGTAGGCAAATGCAAATAAGTATTCAAATGTAAATAAGTATTCAAATGAAGAGAAGAACTCAAAGGGAAATTAGAATTCAAATGTGAATAAGAACTCAAATATAAATAAGTACTCACTAAGATCTCAAACGTAAATAAGAACCCAAAAGTAAATGAGAATTCAAATGTGGAAAGCATAGGTTTAAGAACCCAATCTGTATTAAAACATAAGTATAAGAACACAACCCGACTTATACAATTAAGTAAAATCGAATCGGTATGAACGCAGTAGGATACACGCACACTCACATGAGCTCAAACATACACAGAAGCTACAGCAGCAATGCACAAGGTTTAGCACCGTTAAGTCACATTGAATCTTCAAATAATGTACAAAGCTGATAGCACCGTTAGGGCAAACAAAACATGCAGAACTGAACTTAGGTAGAAAATCTACACATGCAAAACGAACAAACTTCAGCAAAAATTTCTATGGGGTAAAATGCGCAGAATGTGTAGCACCGTTAGGGTATACAAAACTTACAGGAGTAAGTACGTAGGTAGGAAAAATAAGAACTTACGACAATGCATAAACTGCATACATAAAATGCACAAAGGCACGATCACACATGTCAAGCACGTAGAAACACACAAAGCAAAGCGTATGCAAACGCAAAGGCATAGTAAGGCACAAGCACTCACGTGCCTAAAGGTGGTTGAATCACGCGATTTGGTACCTGGGTGTCTGTTGAGCAGACATTTGAAGAAGTATAGTGATAAGCTAGACGTAAGTTGGTATTAAGTTATGTATAAGCAGGATCATGCAAGTCGTAACGAAGGTTGCGACTGCAGCCAATCTAAGATAAGCATACACACAAGCATAGTACCTCAAGGCATATATAAACACATAGAACATGTTGGCAAGAGGACAAGCGAGCGGGACTTCAGCTATAAAAGAGCAGTTCGGCACACAGATTCTTTCAATTTGGTGTCATAGCTGCCTAAGGTAAGTGCGGACGGACAATTTGACAAGTCAACCTTTTTCTTTATTATTTTATTCTGACTTACAGATAGGGGATGTGCTACCTTAGCTGTTAGTCGCCAACCCTGAAGGACTTGCAGGACAAATGACTTACGGATTGGGGATGTGCTGACTTAGCTGTTAGTCGCCATCCCTGAAGGACTTGCAGAACCACTGACTTACGGATAGGGGATGTGCTGACTTAGCTGTAAGTCGCCATTCCTGAAGGACTTGCAGGACTACTGACTTACGGATAGGGGATGTGCTGACTTAGCTGTTGGTCGCCATCCCTGAAGGACTTGCAGGACTACTGACTTATGGATAAGGGATGTGCTGACTCAGCTGCTAGTCGCCATCCCTGAAGGACTTGCAGGACTAATGACTTACGGATAGGGGATGTGCTGACTTAGCTGTTAGTCGCCATCCCTGAAGGACTTGCAGAACCACTGACTTAAGGATAGGGGATGTGCTGACTTAGCTGTTAGTCGCCATCCCTGAAGGACTTGCAGGACTACTGGCGTTACAACATAAATCTTAAAAGTTTTATATTAGTTTTATTTTCCAAACAGTTATGATATATTCCAATATAATTTCAAAAGTCTCTCCATCCCTCTCCTTAAAACCGCAAAATTAAAAAAATTAGGTTCTCCCATCTACTAAACTAAACCGCTGAACCAAACACACCCACAAAACAATACATGGTCTTGTTTTCCCAACGCACTGTGCAGCTTCCATCAGTGTCGCTATTCCAATAGCAAAAACTGGCTGTGTGCGAACCAGCTTCGTTCTTTTGTAATTTTCCTGTGTGCACAAATACAAGAAATTTTGAATTTTGTATAAATGTAAGAGTATCCACTTTCTTGCCCATCAGATAGAATTCGTTATTATTATTTTCGAATGCATTACTTCCAAGCCGAACGCGATTTTTAAAATGATATAAGCTTCATGGGTTATTAAGAAAAATGTATTCTTCGAAGTTTTACTGCACTTTTTTAATACAACGTATGGGCTACGAAAACTGGATTTTTGTTTGTTACCTACAAACAGCTGATAAATGCGATAAATGTTTGCGTTATTTATTTATTTTGCGTTTCGGTTTATTCTCAATTTATAAACACAACTATTTAGTTGCGTTCCGGTTTAATCTCAATTTATAATAGGGGTTTGCTCATAGAATCGTTAAGAAGTACAGCGGAAATTTTAATATGGGGTGATCAACATGACAGTTCTTTTTTCGAATAAGCAGCACTTAATAACTCACTCTTTATAATTATGTAATAATTATTTTCCTTTTTCCAGCTTTTTCTTAGAGAAAAATATGTTACCATACTTTTTGCATATAATGCATCAAAAAAGTGGAGGTTCCAGTTTTGTATGTGTTCAATTATTACAAACTTTGAATATGTAGATTGATACTGACTTAGTGAAACATTATAAGAATTATTGATAGCTTCTTATTTTATTCTTAGATTATTTGTTAAGTAACAATCACGTAAACTCAATAATCGTGCATAAACTTGATTTTTTTTTTTCTTTCTTTCCCTTTGATGGAAAAAGTTCGCCACCGCTAATAATTATCTGATCTAGTTACTTAGGGCAAAAATCTTATGTATTCTGACGAACAGAAAATTATGATCTACTTGTTTGCCATTCCTGGAAGAAAAACTTTAAAAGGACTCAATGATCACAAAAATCTATCCATCTAAACGATCTACAAAGTCTTGCTCCAAACGCAAGGCTTTCTCCGTTCAGTGGTTTCACGTTTTTCCGCCTGGGTAACGCTTTGAGGTGCTGTGATACTTAGGTGTGCGCTCAAAGGAAAAACAACTGTATTCCCTTATTCGGTAATATTTTAAACAATGATTAGAGTTTATTGGAATTTTTTGTTTTCATAAAAATGGTTAATAAATCGTTTTCGTGAAAAAGGTGCAGATCTATATGACACAAATGCAGATGCCTGACATTTAATTAGATCTTTAGGTGTGAAATTTGGAAATTCTTCATTATTAGGCGAAAAGAAAGGAACAGAAAAAATTTGATGGCACTGCTTACCCGTGAAGATACCAAGGTATCAAGGCCTCCATACCTTTATAGTAACTATTGAATTACGATTGGCATTTTTTCATAGTAGTTTATCCCCTTCAATTTAAATTGGAGCTACATGACCCCCTCTTGGGATTATACCACTTAACCCTTTTCAAATTCCATTAGTAAATACTATTATTCTATTAACATCAGGAATTACAGTTACTTGAGCTGATCATAGTTTAATAGAAATAAATCACTCCCAAGCTACTCTCAAAGTTTAGTTATTTTACTATGTTACAAGCCTATGAATACATAGAAGCTGCTTTCACAATTGCAGACTCGGTTTATGGATCTACATTTTTTATGGCTACAGGATTTCGTGGAAATCACGTTTTAATTGGAACAACCTTTTTATTAATTTGCTTACTTCGACATGTAAATTATCATTTTTCAAAAAAGCATCATTTTGGATTTGGGGCAGCGGTATACAGTAAGAACACGTAAGTCATGTTTCAATTTTCCGTGTCAATTTTTAGAATAGTAAGTTTCTTAAGCTGGAGCAATGAAAACACGTCAACCTGGCCATACATAGCTTTTTGATTACGTATTATGACCAGCTGATTATCATTGATAAGGTTAAATGAGGTTTTGGCAATCTGCTCAAGCTTTTTATGTTAATATGCTTTGTAGCTTTGTAAGAATATGCTATAAAAACGAACCAATTTTTCTTGTACAGCAATTTTTCTGTTCAGGTCTTAATTTATATTAAAATAATAAAAATGTCATATTTTCAACTTAGGTAACTTGCTTGTAAGTAAGAAAATCTCTGTAATTTGGCAAGTTTGATAGTGTCCTCGGCGTACATGCAAACGTAGAAATACTAACCATATATATTAGACTGAAAACTTATCACAGTTTCCCACACCACTTTAAGATATCGTGATAGGCACGTTGCCAATTGTTTTGAATGGCTTGAATTGTTTGAATCCCTGTGGGCCATTATATACTTAACATGTACACCATTACATACTTAACATTTATAATAATAATAAATAAATAAATATAAGCCCCGTTTATACTAAATATATATACATAATACATAAATACATAATAAATGCATATAAATGAATCAAGACCTCTGTGCTGGCGTGTTGACATCTGAAAAAAAAATTTTATGATTACTAAATTTTATAAATAAAGATTATCACTGTGAGGACCCAAAGTCGTTCCTCGTTTTGGCCTCATGGGTTCTCCGTCTCTGGTTGGGGAGAGAGGAGTGCTAGGAAGTAAGGTAGCGTAAGAATAGGATAGCTATAGGGTAAGAATAGGTAAGAATAGGATAGGAGTAGACTAATATAGGTTACGAATAGATTAAGATAGGATAGTAAAAGACTAAGATTAGAATAAGGTAATTTTAGCTAGTTTTAGTTGAGTTGGAGAGTCCAGCTTGGGACGTCGACACGAAAGGTCGCGGTTTTGTCCCCGAGGTAGAGAGTTGAATCAAAGCGTAAAGAGAATTATTGAAATAAAGAGTCCCTGTGAAATTATAAATTTCTTGTGTTTTTTCCCCTGGGCCGCTGAGCTGCCACAGCCTAGGAAAGGAACGAAGACGTCCTCACACCACAAACTTACCATTGGTCTATGGAAGTATCGCATTCTGCTGAAGCGATAGCGTGGGATGTTTGTTTTTCAATCTAAAATGAAATAAAAAGGAATGAATAAATTGTACACAATAATAAGTAAAGATAAATGCAAACTTACATTTGGCATACAGCGAAGCTTCATCTACATAAGGCAATGAGCGGAATTGTGAACTTCATTTTTTCTTATCTAAAATAGAAGAAAAAAATAAGTAACACATAAAAATATTTATATAATATATTTACTTTTACTCTACTGCTTCCCACGCATGATTTCCCTTTCCAAAGTTTAATTAAGTGGCAGACCTTCATTCATTATGTTGAGGCGGTGAGGGGCAACGTATGCTTATTTCTCAATCTAATATTAAATAGAAATTAGTATATAAGTTACATATAACGAAAATATTTTCATAATATGTACCTTTACTTTAATGTATTTCATATACAATTGTTCCTTGAACGTTCGCTGTTCATAGGTTTCGTGTGTCTTTTGTAAAGTAAAACGGAAAAAAAATAAATGAATAAATTTTAGATACTGAAATATATCGTAACATAGTTACCTTAGAATGACGTTACGTTGACTTCCAAGGCCTGTCTCCAATTTCTTTGCGTCAGTAGCGTGAACGACACGTACCCAAGTAAATTGATTCGGTGGATACTGTCGCTAGTCCAGGATTCTACTGCCCTGAAGAGGATAAACCGTGCCCCCACAGTTGACTGCAGGCGCTTGCCGATGTCCCGTTCCACCATGTGTTGCTTCATTGCCCGATGCCGAATAGTGTAAACTCTTCTGTGGCCAGGACTTCGATTTTGTAGTTCATATTGTCTATGAGGTAGTAGTCATCATCGGCTCTGAATCCACCTGCCCATTTTGCCAACTGCAGGTTCTTTAATCTTTCCGTCAGCTTTATGATTTCCACTAATGACCCCGCTCTGCCATCCTGCAGAAGAAACGTTCCAGTAGGTCCTGGCTTACCCTGTATGACGCTATAGTTGTGTGAGGGAAAGCCTCTACCGGCTCGTCCATTAAGTGGACGAAATTTTTTATACTCATCCGCGTTTCCGCTGCTAAGAGGTCCGCCGCAAAAGGTTCCCCCAAATATTTGCCCACGTCCTGCATCTCTGCTTTGACCTCCTCGCAATTGGCGGTGGATATAAAGCTCCGTGGCACACGTTCGCTGAGCTTGTGGATTGTTGACAAGGACATTTCCGTTGATTGCCGCTTGCCGTGTCGCTGGATATATACGAATAAAGAATTGTATGATTTCGGTAATAGTCCGATAGTCCGCTGTGGCGGTTAATAGCGCGCATCCTCTCCGCGCCCAGAGTTCAGAGTTGAGCACCTCTAATTGCGATAGTTTGAGGGATCTTCAATAGTCGTATTCGGGTTGACTTCTAATTTTTTGTCGGAAGCCGTCTAGTAATCGCAAGTAGTCGTATACCAGGAGTATACAATTATGCTGCCGTCTTCCCGCCTTCTCTTATAAACTCCATTGGAAAATTTGTTCACGGTTTGTTTGTTGTAGCAGACGACAGCTTTTACTGGAAGTCCTATCTCTTCGGAAAGTTATCGATTGCCGACTAATTGATGCGTGGCACATCTATTACACGTGAAGGGGTGGGCGCTGAGTGGCATGTTCACGGCGTTCAACGCATTCCGCACTACGCACTCCGAAGACGAGGACTGTTCGGTGCACCTTCGTCTTCGTAGCGCCGCTGTTGCCGTACAGTGTACCCTCCGCTCGCGAAGACACTGTTGTTTTGTTCGTGTACACTTCGTCGAAGTATAGTTGGACGATTTTGTCGTGGAAAGTCAACTTCTACACAACTTTTTTGAGTGCCTCTTTTCCCTCTTTTGACTAAATTTTTATTTACTTTCATAATTTTACATTTCTACATGAATGTGGAATAATTATGTACTAAATGGTGGTTACATGCTAAATGGAAGTTCATTTCATTTTATTATTATAAATTATAATAATACACTAAATTAATTAGACTAAAGGCTACTTCTAGAATTCCTTGTGGTCAATTAGAGTCGAACGAATGAATTTCTTTTATATGTATTTTTTTTTTAATTTTTTTAAACATTTAACACCATATGAATTGTTTTGTAGAGCTACAAAACAGTTCTGCTTTAAACGGAACACTTTAGAATTAGATTCAATCTCTAAAGGTTCCGTTAAACCTTTTTTTGGTTTCATTATTTATGCATATGTAGATTTAAAATCAATTTCTTGACTAATAACAGCAACCGAAACAACTTAAGTTTCCAAGCATTTGTTGATTTAAGCAATAAAGATTGAATAGTTTAAAAAACCTGTTCGAATGCATGCCCACTTGAAATTATTAGAAAATGTTAGAAAAATAGCGTTGTTCGGCAGGCCAAACAACTGAGCTTATCCGCCACGCCATCAAATATTTTCTAACATGTGAATAAGTTAACAGCGTGAAGTGAATTGTTATTGTTAAAAAAGTTTTAAATGCATGCACATCACTTTAAATAATATTAAAAAATAAAAAAATATTATAAATAAAAATTTTATCATCAACGCTTGCTATCCTGCTGCACAAACATGCGTAGGTTTATCCAATTGTATCCAAAATAGTCATGTGTAAAGTGCAACACTCAATTCTTTTGTGTCATAAAAATTCTGAAACACATATAAACTTTTCAATGCTTTATAATGTGAATTCATTTGTTTTCCGTTTTACAAATTTGTGTAAAATGAAAGTAATTTAGTTAATTTTTTCACAAACTGGTCTTATAATTATTGAAAAATGTATACAAATGAGGTGTAGCATACCCACGTCCTATTATTCGAAAAATTTAAAAATTTTATTTTATATTATTTGTTTATTGACGCTTAAATAACGTCCAGGCCATCAAGGCCTTTTATAACAGATTACAATATCTACCATTTAATCCCCAGTTAACATCTATTTACCATTCTTCGTACTCTAGCCTTAGAATTTCTTTCATGCTTTCAACCTTAATTACGCTACACTGATTGCTTTGATTAAATTACAATTTTCTAGAGAACAACTGATTATCGTAACTAGTATATCAAATAATTATATATCTTCTTCACTCAGCTTTACAATTCGTTATTATTATTACATTATCCATAGACAGTAAGGTTGACATAACTAAAACGACTAAGAACTTTATTTTCACTGTCGTGCACATGAGAGTCGTATTGAAAACGATAATCGATAAAACACTTTTCCGTAAATCGAACAAAGGCTTGACCCTGGCGAACGAAAATCTCATACTTGTTGTTGTAATTCCGCCAATATGAATAACGCAGGTGTACAAAAAATATATGTCATTCAACAAAGTTTTACAGAGGCAAAAACTGCTAATTTATTTCAAAAGAGTTGTAGATCTCTAATCAACTTTTGCATTATATTGACTGCATTAGTACAATAATACATTGTTTAACTAATCAATTAATTCGCTCATTTAAGCATACATTCACTCATACGCACATAAGATTAGATGTCAATATGTTCAAAGAGATAAAAACATATAACAAATGTTAAGATTGAAGAGATACCGACTCTACCAACGCCACTAATTAATAAAATGAATATCAAACCAATAACTTTATCGAAATGACGCTCTTATAACTGTCAATATATACTGGCATGTATGTGAAAACAAGTAAACATTCTTCGGTAATATCATCTAATATTCCCATGTATAACACATATAACTTCTATATAACATATATAACACATATAAGTTCTTTGTTCGCTTGTAAAATGGCTTTGAATTTCCGCTAAAAGTCGTTAGCTGGTTTTTTCTTTTACGTCGCTTATAAAAGAAAACACTATAGAAATATCCCTTCCGTTAAATGCAAATATCCACGACCATACTGTTAAAATGTTAGAAATATCTTCCAACCATAAAAATCACAGCGGAAATGATAAATGGTTATGATAAAAATATCCGACCCACGATTATGAATGATGATTAATTGATGGAAGTGATAAATGATTATCTCAATTTATTTCATTTGCATATTTATTTGTACATTTTCTATAATTTTCCATTTTTGATAATTATTCATAGCGTAAAAAAAGAGAATTTCATCGTTTAACCACATATTTTATTTTTATTTATTTTCGATTGTTTTATAAAAGTAAAAGAAATCTTAAATATATATTTAAATACATAAATTTTGTTTTTGTATGTAAAATTTATCATACAAGAAAGAAGTGCCAAAGGAAATAAAGGAAATTCCAAGTAATTCAATGCACTGTTGGGTTAGCTGTAACTGCTGACATAAATGGGTTACCTTCTTTTTTGCTTTTTTTATTGTGAGCTCTCGGGACACAGCCCCAAATCCAACTTGAAATTTTCCGTAACCATAGTTTGTGGCATTCCAGTATTTAACAACACGAACAGTTTATCGCAGCTACTTATGGATTACAATTTTTACACAGTGATGCTAAAATATTGCACCGAAATATTTGTGCCGAAACAATTATAATCAACAAAAATCGAAACTAGAAATTATTTAGTTTTGACGTTTGCGTGACAACCAGCCCCCGATGGCAGAGCAATTTGGCCAAGCAAAGAATATAGTAGTGCTATACCAATGATGGCTCAACACTGTTTGGAATACAGTGCTTCAATGCTCCAGTGATTTTAAATATGCTGTTTAAATTTTATTTTATGTAATATTAGTTTGGGGAAAAAGAAATCCATTATATTTTCGGTAGATGGCTGCACTGATAGATTTCTCGTAAAGTATCGATCAAACAATTTCATATTTATGCTCGTTGGAAAGGTGACATTTCGCAGTAAAAAAAATTCTTTTGCTGTTTTTTGTTTGGTGCATTCAGTTGTGAGTTACAGCGTGTTAAAAATGGAACTGAACAAAGAGAAAATTTGGTACATTTTACAGTTTTTCTTTAAGAAAGTCGAAAATGTAAGCCAGGCGGCTAAAATTGTGAATGGTGTTTATGGTTCCGATACTGTAACAGCCAATTATGTGCAATTTTGATTTCGTAGATTCAGGATTTTTTGATGTTAAAGATGCACCTCGCACAAGTAGGCCGGTCGTCGAAAATGTCGATAAAATCGGAGAAATGATCGAAGTTGACCGGCATGTTAGCAGTCGTAACATCGCCCAGGAGCTAAAAATCGACCATAAAACAGTTTTAAACCATTTACACAAAGCTGGATTTAAAAAGAAGCTCGATGTTTGGGTGCCACACCAATTAACAGAAAAAAACATGATGGATCGAATTTCCAACTGCGAAGCCTTGGCCAAACGGAATGAGATAGACCCATTTCTTAAACGGATGGTGACTGGAGATGAGAAATGGATCACATACGATAACCCTGTGCGAAAACGATCGTGGTCAAAGAGCGGTGAAGCACCTCAAACGGCCAGGAAGGTTTTGCTATGCATTTGGTGGGACTGGAAGGGGATTATTTATTATGAGTTGCTTCCATATGGCCAAACGCTAAATTCTGATCTCTACTGTCAACAACTAGACCGTTTGAAGATAGCGATTGACCAGAAACGGCCAGAATTGGCCAACAGGAGAGGTGTCGTGTTCCACCAGGACAACGCTAGGCCACACACATCTACAGTGACTCGCCAGAAACTTCGGGAGCTTGGTTGGGAAGTTTTAATGCATCCGCCGTACAGTCCGGACTTGGCACCAAGCGATTATCATCTTTTTCTTGCATTGCAAAATTTCTTTAATGATAAAAAATTGGAATCTAGGGAGGATTGTGAAAATCGACTACTAGAGTTTTTTGCAAATAGAGACCAGGACTTCTAAGAGAGAGGCATTTTGAAGTTACCTTTAAAATGGCAACAAATCATACAACAAAACGGTGCATATTTGACCCAAATCGGACAATCCGAAGCATGTTAAATAAAGTCCTGAAGTTCATATAAAAATTATAGATTTCTTTTTCCCCAACCTAATATTATACAGTACATTAATACATGCAGTTACCTACGAAGAATGTATAATGTCTAAAAATCAATCCTAGTTTGGTATTAAATAAGTAAAAGCCATCTTTTTAATTTATCTATTTATTTTATAATCTTTTTAACCAAACACCTTCAGGCGGATTTATTCTTTATATCTTTTATCTCAATATAAATCGTTTTAAAAGGGCAGAAGATAATCTTCTTAGT